TGCAACGGCCTTTTTTAAAAGTGTTCGATTTTCAAAGTCGGAAGTGGAGGGTAACAATTTAATGAGTCCATAGTTGGGTTTAATGGTATAATTATGTTCTCAATCGCATAACGTTTAGAGCACCATAAAGCTTACGTAACAAAAGTATGGATTAATTTGGAGATAACACATGTTTTGGTGTATAAGACATCAAAAGCTTCTTTAGAGAGTTTTTACTTTAGAAAGTTACCTAGGTATAACTTAACGATTAAAAAGTCGATAGTGAAACACAATAGAAATTACAAAAAAAAATAACAGGTCGATTCGACATTTGTAAGCCATTAAGGGTTGTTTGATTGTTTCAAGTTTAACCCTACGTTCGCTTCCGCTGCATAATATTGACTGTTGGCCACATGTGACCCCAAATACGTTTAGTTTTATCTTACCTTATTAATTATATGCTATTGATTAGACGAGGAAATAATACATTTTGAATAGTATTTTATTACTGTTCTTGACTAACAACCGTTTTTTTTTCGCCTTATGGTAAAAGTAGCTCTCGTTCATTCGTTTCAGCCGAAAGACGTCCACTGCTGGACAAAGGCCTCCCCCAAGGATTTCCACAAATACCGGTCCTGCGCCGCTCGCATCCAGGCACCTCCCGCGACCCTCACCAGATCATCGGTCCACCTAATGTAACGTAACTCTATTAGGTCCATAATAGGTAATGTTTTGTTAATTGCAGGTAAGTACTATCCTTACCTGAAATTAACAAAACATTACATACTCACCTCCTTTAATTGCAATTGTGTTACAGATAACGAACCTTCACAAGTACCGAACAAACTAAGTTATCACTTTACCCGCGTCGATGGCTCTATTCTGGCACAGAGCACTGCATTTTTTGTCTGTTCATACCCAAAAGTCGGTAAATATCTCACAAAGGGGCCTACAATGCCCCAATGGCAATGTTTGGGTTGAATAATAGTGCGTCTTAGAAATAAGCTATTGTGCGCGTACGCATTGTAAAGCTGGGGTTGCATAAACCGCCCGGTAGCTGTCGGTTATGCCTCAAAGTTTGTTTGCCTACAATATTATTTTTATGACCGTAATACAGCTTAGTTTGACAGTACAGACACCGCCGCGCGGACTTTCTACTTTTTTTCGTGTTTATTGCGGTTTTGTTTTAGACGATTTTTCATGCTTCTTGTTCGAGGTTTTTATCTTCATATTCATAAGTTGGAGCTGAGTTGTCATCCGTATTTCTTATTTAGAGTCGAATTTTTATTCGTCAGATTATTCGCGTCTGAAGAATACAAATAGATTAAGTAATGTGAACGATGTAAGACTTATTATCGACTGTAATAGTTATCCATCACGTTTGAAAGTCCATAATGAAACATATTAAAATTTAAAAGCTTTATTTTAAGCATTTTTAAAAGCTTTGAACCATCTCTATGATTCTTAGAAATCAATTGAATCGAAGGTTAGATAATACTGGGCTTTTAAGTTAATTTAAATAAATAAAAATACCACTTTCTGCAGCAGCGCCGGACCGGTCGTTATGGAAATCTTGGGTCTTTGTCCAGCAGTGGACGTCATTTGGCTAAAACGAACGAACCTCTTTCTAGCCTCTCTATGTATCAGAAAATTCATCATTAAATGCCATGTCATTTACATTTTCGCCTAAGATTTTGTATTCCATTTGTAGTTAGTTCCCTTCAGTTGGTGTTGTAACTACAATAACTTTTATGTGGTCATATTCAGAGGTTACAGTCGTGAATACCCACGTGACAAGCAGACAAATAGTCACTTTTGGATTTATAATATCGAATATATGATAAGTATCCAAACCAGATGTTATAAACGCCTAATAAAAAATACTGCAGTTTCTCCAAAAGTGCAATAAAATGCATAGAAAGCTCCATAGTTTATGGTCGCAAATGTTTGCAAAATTCAAGCACAACAAATGGCAACACTGGCAAGCAATTTAACCTTTTGAGGTACACAGACAAAAGACGGTACTACCTCTGACCATATTGCCTGCATAAGACAATAAAATTTTATCAGTCAAAGGCGCCGACAAACTATAACCGAAAACGATAAAACAATAAAATTAACTTTGTTTGTACACCTGAAGATACCCTTTAGACCTTTTAATGAAATGTTTTAGTTTTAAACAACCTGATAAGAATGTTTTTGTGGTAATTTAATCTTATCGCTGCAAACCCCTTGAAATATAGGTGTGATAAATACTTTTTGGTAACTAAAGGTCAAAAGGTGATTATTGTTTGAGGTCAATAATAAACAATGTTACATTTAGATGATTTGAAGGTCTGTCTTTTTAAAACACGATTTTAACGATTTTCTGTAAAATTAACTTTTAAGCGAAAATATTTTAGTTAATAAGAATTTGTAATAATATTTTATCACAAGTAAGTACTAAAATGCAATTTATATTCTTTTGAAATCACGTGTATCTTATGAAAAAGTAGATTTTCCTAGAAAACCGACTTCGTGAAATGTTTACGCGCGCCAAATTCCTCGGAAAAACGCGGGAAACTCTTTGCGAACTCGTGTTGAAGTTTGCGCCCCGCCCTCACACCGTACGCCCCTAGCGCCGTCTCGCTCGCTCCGAGATAGGTGTCCTACTCGCACGCCACCTCAAGTCTCGCCGCGGCCGGTGACCGCAAACTCTTTGTTTGGCGAATTTGAATTTTGGAGTTTCGCGTCTTCGGAAACTTTTTTCTTTTGATTTTTTTTGTCATGCAAAAATTATATTAAATTATGCCCAGTTTTTTAGGAAATATCTGATATCCATTGAGTGATCCTTAAGTACCGATTTATAACTTTTGTTTGAGTAAAAAAAGGAAAAAAAGGTGAAGGTCCGAAATCTTCTATGCCAAACCAGTGAAAAATTATTTTTTATGCTCATAAAAGTTTCATTTTCAAGTAATAAGTTAGGTAATACATAATGGTTTTATTTTAACGTAATTTCGATAAAAATGTTACTTAGTTTTTGTAATCTTTTTTTTTTTTTCAATATAATAAAACACCTACTATACAAACAATTGCAATCATTGCAGAGCTAACAGACAAAAATACTTCACACAGTTAATTAAAAATAATCGAAAAAAATGTGTCCCATCAAAATATGCCAATTAAAAGTGTCAGTAGGGACACCCCCATTGGCATTCCTCGCGTGCTTTAGAAAATGAAGTGCCACCCCGCGAGTGCGCTACTCCCGGCGAATTCAAACATGAAAATAATAATTTTTCATGAGCTCGTTGATAGGTTTTCGCGCTGGCCGCGGTTTCCCGCCGCCCCGCGGCCTAATTACCGCCGCCTCAGGTAACGCATTTTCTTACATAACTTTTCAATTCCTATCATTGGAAGTCCGAAAATATTTCTCATACAATTTGATACCATAATGATCATTCTTCATAAAAAATTTAAAACCTACATATTTAAAAACATAATCATTGATATTCATAATATCACTAATCATACACTTAGTTTTTACTAATATTTGTTTTCATATATTTTTCTATACTAATGATCGAAACTCATAATCATTCGAATAAATAACTATAATATTCATAAATGTGATGTATCCTAATATTTGTTTTCATACATTTATTACTCATAAGTGTATTTATCCATATTATTGAAAATCATGATGTCTATATTCGTATTAAATCGAATTTTAACATTAAATTAATTTGAAATGGTCCAAAACAGGCAATATTTTGTGCCACAAAACTAACGTGACAGAAACGAATCGCTGCAAAACCGACTCCACGTAGTCTTGTCTGCCCTACCCCTAGAGTGTAATTTAAAAGCCGGAGGCGCGGAGGGAGGGCAGCCCTCGCCCGCTGTAACGAGGCTCAGGCGCCCGGGTGAGCTGGAGCGGCTGAGGCTGGTCGCCAAGGCGCCGAAGGCGCCGATGGCGGTCCAAAAAGCCGAAGCTGCGGAAGCAAGCGTGGGTGCCTGAGCCTCGTTACGCAAGGGCGGAAGGGCTGCACATCCCGCAGCGCCGGAGACGAGGAGATACCAATGCATGCTGCATGCTTAGTTTCATGCTGCATGCTCTCCATGCTTATCTACTCTATTAGATTATATATGATTTTTTTAAAGATACGAGTATGTCTGTTATAAAGTAAATTATTCTGAAGAACAACATTATGAGTTGAAGTATGTTCTTAGTAACAACATTATTAATTAAAACAATATGATCAATGCATGTTATGAAGAAAAAAGATCTGAAAATAAAAATTATGTATTTTAAATGGTTCTTGGTAGTAACAGTATTGATAAAAAAATTATGATTACTAACTGTTATGAGCTCCGATGGTAGTAATAAAAATGTATGAATAAAAAAAGTATGAAAAATAAAATTATGAAGAGAGATTATTATGAACACAAATCGGTAGTAAGACAAAGAATAGGATTTAGAATTTTATGTGAGCCAATATAGAACCGCCGCCTCACGATACGTCACCGCGATGATTCAAAAAAATCCACCCATCCCTCTCCCACCCGTCGCCTCCGGCCCGCGGCGTCTCGCTTCCACAAGCATTTTTATAAAAACGCAGACACCAACCGCGGCCGTCCCGCTCGTTCCCGCCACGGCACCGCGCTGCCCGCACCCTTCGTCTCCTTCCCGCTTTTTACGAGACGTAGGGGCCGCCACCCGGGTGGGGGCGGCGACCGCGCGAACGCAAAATATTGACCATCGGAAAAAGTCGCGTCGTATCACAGTCATCAGTCGAAACCGAGTCCTCGCGAGCACGCGTCCCTTCGCCGCGACTTCGTTGCGCGTCGTGAGTCTTCGGCTTGCGGTCTCGACGAGTCCCACGGCCGCCCGTTTATTTTTCCCAATCCCCGCCCGGCGTCTTGCCGTCCGCGCCCAACAAGTGGTGTAGAGCGTAGACGCTCGCTGGCGGCTCACACGACGTCTCGCGCTCGTACTTTGCACAACTTTCCGAGTCTTCGCGCGTGAGTTCGAAATTTGATCGCGTGTTTGAAACTTTTGCCGGTGTGTTTGGACAACAGTGGCGTGACGTGGGACTTCTGTGGCGTGTCGAGAGTCGGTGCGGTGTTCATTGAGGGTAGCCTGGAGTCGATGCACCTTCCGCACGCGAGCCCCCCGGCCCCCAGTATGGCTGACGTGTATTCCCACATCCACGAGTACTACAGGCAGAGCCACGGCGAGCTGGTGCAGACTGGGTCGCCGGCGGTGCTGTGCTCTGCGCTGCCTGGACACTGGCGCTCGAACAAGTCCCTGCCAGTGGCTTTCAAAGTGGTGGCTCTGGATGATGTGCAGGACGGCACATTAGTGACAATCAAGGCAGGGAATGACGAGAATGTGATGGCGGAGCTGAGGAATTGCACTGCTGTGATGAAGAACCAAGTGGCCAAGTTCAATGACTTGAGGTTCGTCGGTCGCAGTGGTCGCGGAAAGTCTTTTTCGCTGACGATCACCATCAGCACATTCCCCAGCCAAGTCGCCACGTACATCAAAGCCATCAAAGTTACCGTTGATGGACCCAGAGAACCCAGAACCAAACAAAGTAAGTTAATTATTTTTCTATTTAATTTTATTTGGTTCTAAAAATATTTAACTGAAAACTTACATTATTGAAATTTAAATTGCTTGCCTAAGTTATATTATTAATTCCATTAGCAGGTCCACTTTTGTAACTTTTATTAACTTTTTATTAAATAATCAATATTAAAGCAATTAATTGTAATTTACAGAGTAAAAATCTTAACTAATAAAACATCGACGTTTGACAAAAATTCATAACGTTAATTGAAATAAGAAAGAAAATAAATGTAAAATACGAGTTCTACTAAACAAAAGTCCCAAAACTATCAATTCACCTTACAGAAATAAAGAAATAGAATTAGAGAGGAATATCCAATAATCCAAGCACAATTTTGAAACAGAAATGCGATTTTTTCATAAAGATGCGTGCGCGCAGCTTGGCGCGCCGCCAGCCTGCGGGTTAGGCGTCGATTCTGCGGCGCCACGACACTCCACCGCACTCTAAACGATCTTATTCTAAATCCGCAAGCTCTTAAAAACTGATAAATCATGGCTAAAGACGTCATGACAAGCCTAATCGTCGGTAACGTCTAAAAAATATGTCGGTTGAATGAATATTTATTTAAAGACTCAACATTTTTTGTACTACGGAATTTCGTAGCGACATTGATATAATTGTTAAATTTTTCTTCTTCACTTTTCGTATTTAATATGTAATTTTTAACATAACATTTTTACATGCATCGTTATTAATCAGTTCTCTCATTTTCGTTAATAATTTATTTTTAGTTTTCGAATTTCAACCACGAAATCACACAGCTCCGTACCGCACTGATCGTTAAAATTTTATTTCAATCCAACAGTACAATAAAATAAGAACAAGTTTTATACAGCGCACTGCTGTACGCAGATGTGAATAAACAAAACAAAAGAACACCAAACAAAACACATCCCAGGCAATTTCGTAAATCCGTCAGTCCGAAATTAACATCTGTACGGGCCAGTACGTCGTGAGAAACATTCAATCACGCAGACGTTAATTGCTACTCCGCTTAATGCTCAACTACTTGAGGAATCATCGTAGACTAGTGTTGTGACGAACACAAATATTCGTACTCACTATCACGGTACCTGCATAATATTTGCTTTAAAAAAAGAAAAGCGAGCGTAAAACTTTACCCTAAGTTATACTAGATTGAACATACACTGAAGCTTAACTGCGACAGAAATCAAAAATAAAGTTTCCAAATACTTTCCAATTTTCAAAAAAAAAACACACTAATCAAAAAATATTGATAGTGATGGTGAGGTAAAGTTGGTGGGTTAGTTCTCAAATAAGATTAGAAACCATTCGGTTCTAAAATTGTACAAAACTGGTGTGCAGTATCAACAATATCTTTATCACACAATGGTTTATAAAATTATAATAGATTACAGTTAATTAGTATTAGAAGTATTATTTAGATATTCGAATTCGTAAAAGTATTGTGTTCGTGGCATCACTACAGTTAACGAGGAATCATCGACTGCTCTCCCAAAATAACTCCGATTGTCTTCAGGAGAGTTACATTAAGAGAGTTGTTGTGACTTGGCCTTTATAAATGGATGCTGACTTTTACACGGTTTTAAATTTAAGGAGCTTCTGAGTTTTGTATCGTTCGGTTGATGTTAAACACGTGCTTGTAAATTAGCTGCCAATCATATCGTAAACTGTTGCTATTAACTCTGTCTCCATTGTTTTTCTTTACTTCTTAGACTAGGCTAGATTCTGGCATATCAACTCAGTCTAATTTTTATTCTTGTGTGTTACCACTTTATTCTTCTTCTATCAATATTGTGTTAAATGATATAATACCTATTGGGTCAATCCTAACAACTAAAGTACAAGCCTGTTGTCAGACGTCAAAAGTGCTACCATAGGCGTCTAACATTACTGTGTCAGACTCTACGCCACCATAATGAGTCTGACATGTCATATGTCATACGTAATGAACTACCTTTAGCGCCTAATATTACTGTGTCAAACTCTATACCACTCTAAGAGGCTGACAAACTTACGCCGGGTTGCATTTCTTACTTTAACTACAACAGAAGTACAAAGTCAGTAAAACTCCATTTAAAAACACCGGTTAAAATTAAGTTACGGTTAAAGTTCAGGAGATGCAACTCAGCCTTAGTTTAATCATTTCAATTTATAAAATGCATGAGCAAGGACAACCCTGTAATGTTTTAATCAAAATGTAAATGCTTAAATCGTACAATTAACTCCAATGAAAAATACATCAGACTCAATCAAACCGTTAACCAATTGGTAACCGTTTTCATAATTTGACACCACAAATCTATTTCGGACGCAGCAACATTAACCTAGACCGTCTGTATAAACAACGCACCAAACTTCGGCCAAATAATAAAAAGACAGTGCGGAAAACTAACATCCTCGACATCAAAGGCGCCGGGTAAATAAAGTGATCAATGGACCGACTTAATGACCGCGTAAAGGCTAATTATTGTAGAACAACCAGACGTCGTAATTAAAAAGAAAAGTGATAGGAGTAAAGGGATGTAAAATTCAAGGGCATTAAGGGAATGGTGGGTAAAAACAAGCATTTCAACAATTGGTTTCAAAGCTACAAAGTTCATGAAACTGAAAAGATGTTTCGATTTCTTGATATTAACAGTTCATAATCTAAGTCAGTAGGATAATTTAATCAAATATAGTATTTATCTAATGTTCACAGTTTGGTCATTATACCTTATGTTCAATACAGAACATAAAAATTAAAAATAGTTAAAAAAATATTGTCTATGATTAGATTAGTCTTTATTCTATGTTTTTACTCTTCTATTTTGTAGCGCAGCGCAGCCATGTTGTGTTCAAAATAAGGAAAAAACTTAATGACGCATCAAATAAAGAAATAAGCAAGAGTTTAATTACTACTACCACAAAATACATGCTACTACTTCATCCAAAAAAACACTAGGTTCTCTAGGTCTAGGCAACACTAAATTATTTAAAGTTCTCATTTCATGATCACTTTGCCCCGTCCCTAATTTGGGTTAAAGACAGATAAGATTCAGAAAACCGTTCAAACAATTTAATTTTTCAGGAATAAAAAAATCTAATTGAACTTAAATTTGCTGACCGTTTTGTCCCGTCCCTAAACTGGGTTCAAAACAGTTAAGATGTAAGAAACCGTTCTAACAATTTAATCTTTCAAGAATGTTACATTACTAAATTAACGGATCTTATAATATTTATTTATTTATTTATTGATAAAGGTACACCAACAGCAATACACATTTAAGACATTCACAGTATACAACACATATTGGGGTTTTAGTTTAAATATGTTTGCCAATTACAGGTATACACAACAATTTCCAAAACATTGCAGCTTATTAGATATATTATTTATGTATACAAAACACCAACAGCCCTAGCGTTACTTCAAGATTTTAATCAGCATTCGCAAATGCAAGCGTAACAATAACCAGCACTTGCAGTTCCAGCGGTTACCAAGTTTCGTACCGCGCCAGATGTAAACAGTCCGACCGTCGTAAATTCTGTTTGATCTGCCCGCCTCTAAAATATGGATTTTATGTCCCAGTTAGCTGTTATACCACATCCCTCGTTACCCCACGCCATGGTATTAAAACGACCCTAGGTTTTGATATTGAAAGTCATGTTCACATAGCATAATATTAAAGTAGAAATAATTTAGAGGTTTTTAAATAAATAATGAATACTGTCAATTACTAATCGCATAGGTAGTTACAATCTTAAACAGCTTTAGGTATATTTAAAACAGAAGAACAATATACTTCAAATCAAAAAAACAATAATTTTACCACTGCTAATAATCTATAACACACATTAAAATTTTTCATAAATGCATCTTCATACCTACTTTACCTAACACGCTCATACCGATTTATTTAAAAAATTTAAATAGTTTGTTTACTAATTTTTCAGCGAATCAAAATATTTCATGAACGTTTAAATTAATCCGCCTTGATCTACGTTGTTACCGCTATTACGAATGCGGGTTTTATATGGGACGCCGCCATCGCGGCATCGCGTCCGCCGTACGACTCATAATTCTGATTCCATTTATTTAACGCGCTCACATCTCGACAATAATTTACGAGACAACACGCTCGCATCCCATCAGAGTTATTTAACGCCCGTTTTGACACTTATAAGTCGTATAATTCATACGTTTATTGTCTCAGCGGTGCCGAATTGGTCAGAACGACTTTTGATTTGAGCCACATTAACACATTAATGTATTTAGGTCGCCACGCTACAGCCGCGACGAATAGATCTTGGAAACATTAAAAGTTGCATTCCAACATTCCAAAAATACTTAATGGTTCTAAAAATAATGGATATGTACTTACAGTTACTTCAATCAGGAAAAGGATACTCATTTATTAATGTGCTTAACAAAAATATCATGTTCCACATCTCAACATTAGACATGCTCGCTACCCCGTTAATATTCAGAGCCCCGCATATGCAGAGGGTCGGGGAACTGAATTTAATTGAATACTGGCATTAACAAATGGAGCGGGCCATTTCCGAGTTCCACATTTAACTTATTATTGTTCCATGATGTCGGAACGTTCTTCACGGGATTGCCGCATGACAGCGCGACGGGCCATCCATCACGTTCTTAATTTAAAATACCCGCGATTTGGGGTAACGCTCACGGAACGCGCTAATCTCCCCAAACGGGTTGTGTTTACGCTCGTCAATTGTTTTATAAACATCTCTACTGGGCAATAAAAATAGCAAAACAAAAGACAGACGCCCGTTTTAGATCTAAAACGAGCCTACTTAAAAGACGCTTGCAACATTATCTAAGTCGCTAAACTAAATGTTTACAGGGCGAAAACAAAGTACGCGAAGTGCTCATAAACATTTTAATCCCGTAATAAAAAGTCGATACCCCTGATCGATTAAGATGGCTCGATTGAATTAAGGAATGCCGTAAACCCAAAATAGACGGCGATGGCGTCTTCAGTAGCTATCGATTAAACAAATAAAAAATCGTTTCGCCGGCTGAAAGGCGAAAGGCAACGTGACGGTGGAGGATCGTAAAATCGTATGGTACAGAGGAGCCGGCTAACTGCAGTAGTAAACCGGCTCGTTTTGTATACAGACCCTCTGTTATAGTCGCGGCAAACAGTGCCGGCCCGTGTGTCGCCGCCTTTATGGGTCGCCTTTGTGACTTTAGTGCTTGCGGACGTGCCTGAAGACTCGGTGACCTCGCTTCGTCAATCACTCCTTATTGCGAACGATTTTCCCACATTTTACGTCCCTTTCCGATTTATTCGCTGGTTTTTCTTTGGCTTTACTCTAATCCGCATATGAGTGAATGATCCACATTATGGATTGTTTGCGTTTTTTTTTTCGTACATATAAAATTATTCATTTCGTTCGTTCGTTTCAAACGAAAGACGTCCACAGATTTCCACAAAGACCGGTCCTGCGCCGCCCGCATCCAATTAATGAAAAGATATTAAAATAAACATACGATATTTGAACTTCTTTAGCTCCAAAGCAGGTTCACTTTATTTAAAGTTCTATGGGATAGGTATTACTCCTTTTTGGAAGATTCAGAAGATATTCATTCTTATTTGATCAAGATGACTAAATATCGTTTCATTGTTACAGATTACGGCTACGGACATCCTGGTGCCTTCAGTCCGTTCCTGCTAAACCCTGGATGGCTAGACGCTGCTTACCTGAACTACGCCTGGGCGGATTACTTCAGGCCGCCACAGATGAGGGACTCCACTGCTGCTCTAGTTAAAGGTATTGTCGATATTCCTTTTAATTTGGTATTGCCTCCGTTTTAGTTACGAACTAGACATTTCGATCCAATGGTCCTGAGTTCGATTCTTAGATGATACAATCAAATTGAATCACTTTGCGTGTTGTTTCTAGTTTGGTTAAGACTTCGCTGGCTCTAATTTCCTGATTGAAAATTAAGGAAATATGCCATGCTTCGGATAATAAGTTTAGCCATTAGTCTAATATTATATCATGTCAGGCTTCTATGTTAACGTAAATTTGACAGGTTGTGAACTTAGTTTACTCCAATCATCTAGGTATCTATTATTCCTTCTTCAATCTACTTTTAATAGTAGAGAGAGTATAGTGAAAATGCAAACAATAAATACTCTTGGGGATTGATAGCAATTTGCAGTTTAATATTGAAAAATAGACGCTTTCAAAAATAGTACATTCCGACCAATTTAGCTTTTGAGAGTAGATCTGTATTCGCATTTTATTTTCCATCCGATAGTTCCGCGATTGCAGTTCAAACATAAGTCCCTAAGATACTAAAAAACTTGTACATTTCCGTTGTTCTAAATCCGTTTGCAATCAGCGTACAAATTCGGTATTTGTTAATTTAAAAATTCCCGATTCGGCAAACACTCGAAAACATGTTGCTTGCGCCTGAAACACCCCAAGGCCGAACAACGCAAAGCGGGTGCAATAAAAGGAACATCTCTTGAGCGCTGCAAAACAACACCGTCCGACCGAGGCATAACCACCCGCTGAAGTCCGGGGGGCGAACACAAGTAAAAAGGCTGCCTTCGTTCGAGAGAGTGTGGAGTCAATTTTATTCCAATGCAGGCGACCACGCGCCGGCTACTTTTTGTTTCCGCCTCTGAAACGCGAGGAGCGTGTGCTCAAACACCTACCGACTTTTATTAAACCTGTGCCACTCGTCAAGGATACGCACGCCGCTTTAATTTATGCTCGCAATTATTTCAAACTTTCTGAATCTAACAATATACGCTAAGAGCCTTTGGACTTGTTTTTCAAATAAGTTTCATTGACGTTCTAGTTGAGTTCATGCCCATGCATGTTGTAAAAAATCTTTTAATGTCTCTCTAATTGTAAAACTAAAGGTAAAATTTCACAATGCATCCGATATGTAAATGCAAATGCATCCGCTAATTAATCATTAAAAATTATCAAAGCGAATGCAGAATCAAATTCAAAGGTCAGGGATCACCTCAATCAGGCGCGACGCCGATATTGGCCCCCTCACCAAATTACCCCCTAGTTACGTCCCCTCCCACCCTCGCTGCCTTTTAAAGTGGTCTGCGCACTGCCACTGCTGCAAACAGAAAAAGTGCAAAAGAGGAACGAGGGTAGCACCACCTCCGAGCTCTTTGTGGCCCAATCTGCGCCTTCATCGTGTCCTTTTTATACGTCAGCTTCTCTTACACGCTATCGAGAATCAAAGCTGGCACAGCAAGAACTTTTCAACACTGTTGCTAATGAAAATTTCACGTTACGAGCCCTCTTTGTCCGCGCCGGGGAGATAGTCCCGCTTCCTTATCGCGATGGAGCCGGCTTTGTGGAATACACACGTGTCCGATGGAGCACCTCCACGCGTGCCTCGCATAGCTAATGCACTGACACACACCCGGCAACAAAACAGAGACACGCCGAACCGAATTACCTCGTCTCGTCTCCTAGCAAAGAACCGTGTTCAGATAAATAAATATTGCACCCTCGCCCTCCCAATGTGCACTAAAAAAACATCCCTTTCGTGAAGCCGCCTTTAAACGCCTACAGATTGTATATTATCCTTAGTACGATTATGCACCCTCACTGTTCGGGGAATCAGCAGAGTGCCCTTGCGTTTTGCAGTGTCCCAGAGGACTCGTCTCTCATATTACGTCATGTTGGTGATGTTGGCTTGTACATACTAAGATGGGCATTAAATATTCAATCAATACTTATTTTTCTTTTTCTTTTGTCAACAGGAGCGCCACCGCTAGCGACGCCGCCGGTGCTGCCTGGAGCGGAGCTATTCCCATTCCCACCAGCGATGGCGAATATTCCTCCTGGTGGGTTAATACCTCCACCAGGCGCATTCCTGCCTACGAATGGATTATTGCCATTCCCACCGCATCCAGCTGAGTTGGCACTCAAAGGGATACCGCCTGAACTATCACTCAAGAACGGCGTAAACCCGTACGAAGCTTTGAGGCATTTGCAAAGCAACGTATCTTCAATGGACACATCGAGCGCTCATTTGTCGCCGACTAGCAGTAGGCAGAGCAGTCCACGTAGCATGGCGAACGCGAGTCCAGACCGATCAAAAGCCGATTCGAAATCAGAAGTCAATTCGATGCACGAAGCGACGATTTCTGATGAGTCTGATGAGGAGCCCATCGAGGTTGTGAAGTCTGCGTTCCATCCCACGAGACCAGCTAATGTGGAATTACAAGAGATGAAGCGAGTGCAGGCTGCTGATTCGACGGTCTCAGACCGGCCGCGGATAAAGAATGAACTGAAAGCTCCTTCTACGAGAACCACTCGAGTCCTTTCAACTAGTCCAACGTCAACTAAAATTAATAATGGTGCGATATCAGGGCAAAAAACTGTGTGGCGACCATATTGACATTCAAACTTTCTAGTGTTAGTGTGAAATAAATTCTTCTACCGTATCGGTACGGTGTTGTTGAAATGTGATAAAACCATGAGCTTGTAAATAGTATAGTTATATAAAAATTACATTGATTTATAACAGATATTTATTAATAGAGATAATATTTAGGTTAACTTAGCTGATGTAGTTTATCTTACGAATGTCGTAATTATTGTAAATGTTAATAGATTATTGTTATTTTATTGCAAATGTGTTCAAGCTTGTCGATATAAAGATTTTGTATAGATGTTTTATCGAGCAAGTGATTTCGAAGATTTGGAATTACATAATTGTAAAGATCAATTTTCTTCACAGATGACTGATTACTATTAAACTAGTTTTTATCTTACGATACTGAATAATATTGTAAATAATGTAAATGATATTTATTGATCAGCTGGGATGTACATTCAAAGATTACTGTTAAATGGCAATGTATAATCAAATTGTAAATATGTAAGTAGAGATGCAGATATAAATGACAAATCTGAAAAATTATACATGATTTTTATTACAAACCCGTGGAAAAACATTACCCGTGGAAAAACGACGATCACAATATTAATACTAGTGATCTTATAGTTTCTGATTCTAAGAAACAAAATAATAATTGTTTATACAAAAACATTACACATGCACCGCACGTGTCGGTCTTCGGTAGACGTCTCTATAGCAATAACAGTCTTAGATTAATAAAGCTATACACTCATAATTTGCTAACACATTATTTGCCTATTAAACAGAAAATTGATCAGCAAATGTTTCTTAATAGCTTATGACTACAGTCATTACAAAAAATCTACTGACAGTCATGACTGTTCGAAAGTTCTAAGCTTTTTAAAGACTTGTGCGATGCTAGTCATCATTATGTCATCATCAAATTATGTTAACATTTTAAAAAAGCTGTAGAACGAAATATGCTAAGCTTAAAAGCTCCCCTTTTTCCTCATTTGTTGGTGGCCTGAAATACAAACAAATCATGGCTGGGTGGACGTACTCATGACTACTTTAGAAAAAATAAGTAGAAAAATTCCTAAAGTAGTCATGACCATGTCCATCCAACGACGCCGGCTTGTCTTTGAATTTTGGGACAGTAGTAGTTATTAAGTAAAACATTGTCAAAAATGAAAGTATTTAGGTACGCGGTAAGTTAGTAGGTTCCTTACTACAAAGATAACTTTGCTTTACTTTGTTACCTGTAATTTTTACCGAATCCGAATTACTTATCTAATCTGAATCTCGTAAACTGGCCTGTAAAACTAAGTAGTTATCATTGAAATGCAATATTATAATTTTCAAATTAGTTTGAGATGCGACTCTTAACGCTAAAAATTAAATAACTATATAATGTGTCATAATTTATAAATAAAACAATTTGCTAAATATTTTCATGGCTTTATTTAAGATTTGGATTATAAAAAATATATGTTTATGTAAGCAACTACTCGTATAGATTGACGAATCGTATGATTGGGCTTTATACGTGGCGTAGTTTTGCACATACGCCTATTTGCCTAAAATTTTATTTTGTATCTAATGGAAAAAAAATTTTTTTTTCTTACTGATGTTATAGATTAGAGCAAAGTGTAATCATTGCTTAAATAATTGGAAAAAGGCGTAAGCGGCAGTTTCGCCCTTATACGTAGGAGCCATCGATATCTGCCCGTCCCTTTGATTTTGAAAGTACGCGAGATTACTTTCGAAAACAAAAGCTCTAGAAAAAGAGTTTACTATAATTTCAGAGAAATCTAAGGGAAAATAGTAGTTAATTTAAAATGTTTTATCATTTAATCTTTGTAGGCTTTGGATGGTTCGGCAACCAAGGACTTTAAGTGTATATGAATAAATTCACAATACAAAAGATGATCTGATTATACTAACTACAAATTGCTAAAAATAATCATCTAAATAAATTAAAAATCCTCGCCACGAGTCCGTTTGAATGGCCAACGCGATCCTTCATCACGGCCTTTGTCCGCACTAAGTTAATAAGCACTACCTGCACTTTTGTAGGTGCGTCGGTGACGCTATCAATTGTGTTTGCGAACTGATCCGGTTAGCTGATTGCGCGCCCTCCCCGCGGTCAAGCGCCCTCCTCAAACAAGGCGGGCGGATTCTGTGACGCTGGATGTGACATGGATTTTGACAAAATTGGTCTGTTTCAGCCAGAATTTGTATATAAACAAGAAAAGATAATTAATATCGGAGACCACTGCATCAGTCTAGTGCACAAACAACTCGATAAAAAGTATGATAGAGCAACCTGATAAAAAGTAAGGGATTAAGTACGCATTCTAAAGCAGTGCCACAAATTATTGTTTGTGCTTTCTATCAAACAAAATTTAGCTTATAAGCATGATTCACGTCTTGTTGTATTTAGGATATCATTTTGGAGATTTTTTCGGTGTTTTGTTTCACGGTTCCCTTTTGCGTCCCCATGAGATGAAAGCAGCATCTCATTGGGACGAAAAAGGGAACTGTTCATAGTGTTCATAACACATTTAATGATTTCGTGAGTTTTAATAAATGAAACTGCATGTTTTTGGAACCCACAGCAGACCTGGCATTTTGCAATTCAGTAAAATAAAACAAACACTCAAACTTCAAAAGCAGGTCATTTTGAAAACTAGGTGTTAAACATAAGCAGTAGGTATAAAACCTCAAATATGCCTCATCCAGGTACTCAAAGTCCGCGATTTTCAGTGAATGGAGGCTCCTCATTATGTCGAGCTTTGATTCGCATCTAGCAGGCGTCGGGCTTATGATTCCCTTTTTGGCGTGCACCAACTCCATACATTGTACGTACAACACACGGCCATCCTATTTTGCAGTATTAAAAACCTGTGGCCAGACGCCTGCGTCAGTGAGTGTATTTTGAATTTGAAATTTTGTTTGAGCGCAATGAATGCATGAGTGATTATACTTTATTAGGCGTCGTGTTTTGCGTTCGTTTTTGCTGGTTGGAAATGAGGATTGAATAAGTTTTGTTGCGAATATGTTTAATTGGTTGATGAATCTGTAGGTAGATAACGCTATGAAGGTATTATAAGCATCAATATCTGAGAGACAGAAGATAGTTTAAAACACATTTTAGCTGTATCAATTAATTATTTATCAATCACAACACCCAATCATGATACGGCATTCAAAACTCGATTGAAACTCATGCAAGCATATTATGTATATTCAAGGCAATAATTGGCTTCTAGTAGATTCGTGAGCAGAATGACACTTGTGCGTCGTTTCGTGATACCGACCTATCTTTTGTGATTTGTTATTGGAATATGTGGAACATTATGCAATAAATGACTATGACATGCTTGATTGTGATGAATCAACACTGATGGTGATCTATCTGTTTCACATCGCTTTTGACTTTCATAAGAATTGAATTTATTTGAATCTATGTTTCATTTTTTTTTTCGAATTTTAAGTTCAATTTTTTATCGTGGTTTTTACTTTTGTTTCAATTTTAGAACGAGTAGGTATTTGGCACGCGTCATTTCTTTACACGAGCCCCAGAATCTTTCACGTAGTTACTCTTTGTTATACCGCTATCATTCTAGAAGATTCACCGCTATACTTTCCCATACCCGTCGATTTACAGCTCGATCTAATCACAACGTGGAGCGATCTAGGCCATGCGAAATAAAAATGGCGTTCATCGACAATGCGGACCGTGGGTGCCGGCCGCGGGCGACGCGGCGACATAGCATATCGATAAGACCTGCCCAGGTGCTTTTATTGTTCCACTGGGCTTGGATCAGGGCTGACGATGTGGGAGATTGTCGAGAGTCAACAGACATCGATGAAATAATTTAACAAGATGAATTTATTTTACAGTGTGCTTGATGTGTCTTCTTAAAACAATACTCGTAGTATAGTTTGTAACGATAGCTGAGGTATCTGGTATGGTGGATAACGTCAAGTCGTACCCTCCATTAGGGGTGTCTTGAATATCTATATTTTGAATTCCTCCTTTAATCTTCTAGTTGTAATGTATTTCAAAAGTGTAAGCTATCCTCTGGGACCTAATACTAGAGGCCGGTAGATCTATTCTCATAAAATAAAACACTGAATACTTAACTTGCACATTATATTTCATCACTTTAAATACAATTCATCACTTAGCACAAAAGCGCGCAAAGCCGTACGCGCGCGTCCCTCTATTCTGACGTTTATGTGACATTGACACTACTACGTTAATGTCACTATGACAGCAGCTCATTAGCTTTACCGATACACACACAAGCAGTAGCACAGTAGCACTAGCTTTTGGTAGCCCTGGAATCAGATTTAACCGATTCATGCCGTTTTATCCAGCGGAAGACCGGGTCGCTCGCGCCCCGGGCGACGTTGCAGCGTTCGCGGGAAATCTAAATGGATACGTTCGATGTTTAGATACATTTGGGTGTGAGATGTCGCCTAATGCCTGCCAGGCCTATATACGATTAAACCCAAATTCATTACAGTACGCAACCTTTTAATTTAGCAAAATAATGGATTGGGGGTTTTTGAAATGATTCAGTAACCTGCGCAAAAAAGATCAGCGTCCGTGCTTAAAATTGAAACCCATTAATTTAGTTTCTTTTTTGTGACACAATATTAAGAAAAGTCTTCTAGCATTCTCATTGTTACTTTACATGCTTAATTTTTTCACATCCTACCTATATTCTTTATCATAGTGGAACAACTTAGACACATAAGAAATCGTTTTAGTTATACAAAATAATATGCACCATATTTTTTTCTACTTTACACTTTTTCTTAATTGCAGTCTTCAACCTGCATTATAGTACCCTTTAGTCCCCGTTTCTTGTTTCATGCAATACTTAAACAATTAAAAACCATCATTACCCTAATGATAGGACAGACATGAAACCAACGAATTAATCCAAAAAAAAGCCGTTCGGCAGAAGTGTCGCCGGCCAGCGCCGCCGCCCGCCCAGCAAACACGGCTAATCCGCCCGCCCTCAGTAAGCCAACATTATCTCATGTTATTTTTCGATATTACCCGTTTTACGGGGGCCCGGAGGCGTAAATCAAATTTATTGCCATTTTATACATGCATTAAAATTTTATCAGCGAGATTTCTTTCTGTTCCATTGTCCAGTCGAGTCCTGTCAACCCTTTTGAGTTTTGATGTGTTATGCGATTTTTATGCCCATTTTTAGGGGAAATGTTTATCTGGATACATTGGGTTTCAACAGTAGAATGTGAAGAGGATTGGATAACTTTGATAACCAGTCTACATGTTTAGGGTGGATTCGACCAAACAAGAGTAAATATTAATCTCAGAATAAATAGTCACTTATTCGATATTTTGACATATTTCCCATACTGAAACTGTCAATGTGCCAGTACCAAGAGTTATTCTCGGATAAAAGTTTGGTCGAATCGGGCCTTAGTCAAAAAATAAATTGGTTGAAATATCCTGACAGTCTTGACAACAGTCA